GCTGCATTGCTACATCTGGATCCAGTGTCTTGAATCTGTGCAGGATACAATCAAATCTCAAGACTATCAAGGCTTTCTGGAGCGGAATGTGCTGCCTGGAGTCAGAAAGCTTGGTCTCATGGGTCCTCTGACAGGATCAGGCCCAACACACACAAGAATGGCCCAGAACCAAAAGTTGGACCATTCTGACCTGAGCCCTGATCTCAGTCCTGCTCAACATCTGTGGAAGGAGCTGAAACATTAAGTCTGGAGAAGGAACCCTTCAAACCTGAGTCAGCTGGAGCGGTTTGCTCACCAGGAGTGGACAAAACTCGTGTGGACAGGTGCAGACGTGTCAGAGTTACAGAAATCCTCAAAATGTGCAGTAAATAAAAGGTTACCATCCTTTCTGTCAAGACCAGTTTCACTTGTTTGTTTTCAATTCTGGTTAAAACTTCAAAAGGAATAAACGATTTTAGCTGATCTCACTTTTTTTTTCTTCTAAATATTACTATTCTTGGTTTTAGGTGATTTCAGTGACCTTTGTGTGTTAAAAGTAGTACAAACAAATTTATCCTTACCTGTACCAGCACAAAATTTAGAAGATGTGCTCTGTCTTTAAAACAAATCCCTCTTGAACACTAAGTACAGTTTTGTGGCACTGAACTGAGTTTTCTTCAAGTGTTTTTACAGCTGTGCTGCTTTTAGCTCCATTTTCCATGAATGACTCGGATGTAATCAAGGCCTGGAAACGTTAGCGATGATCTTCTGAACAGCAGATGATGACGTTTTGCTCAGTAGAGTTAGTTAAATGCAGCTTGTGCTCTGAGACTGTGCTGTTCCACAGGATGCGTCTGATTACCTCCTGAATGGATCTTCATGTTCACAGTGGGAATATGTTTGTTGCAGTTTGGCAAGATTCTCGTAGTTTCTGCTCTCTGGAAAACTTGTTCTCAGTCTCGAGGGTTTGCTTTTTGTCTTTAAGCTTTGACATTTAGTCTGACAATTTGTGCTGCAATAACAGATAAAAAAAGCAGTTTTTCCTGGACAGTCTTGTCTGTGAGCTCAGACGGTGGTTACAGACAGCAGTGGATTGTAGACTTTCTTCCCGTCTGCAGACCGGCTCCCGTGTGCCAGCAGCTCCTGTATAGTGATCCAGTTGTCCAGGATTCTGCGACTGCGCTTCTTCATGCTCCTGCGGTGGCACAGCTCCAAGATGGAGGTGGGTTCCTGCTGCTGCGTCTCCCCCTGCCCTCCGCCGCTGCCCTGCTCCTTCTCCCTCTCTCTGAGGCAGTCGAGCCGGCTCTGCATCATGAACTCCCGGCGGCGGCGCTGCTCTCGGGCCCTCAGCAGCTGCTGCTTGCGCTCCTCTTTGCTCCAGTAACGACCCATCTTCATTTCACTAACGGCATCGTCGTCGGTCGTCATACCGCTGCGTTCTTCTCGAATCTTCATGGCACGTGCCTTCAGGAGGCGATCCCTCACCGGCCGTTTGGCCACATAACGCGAGCCGTCACTGCGGATCTTGACCTTCCACTCCATCCTGGGGGACGCAGGCATCAGTGGAGGGGACAAGGGGAAAGAGACGGCACCTGCATGGTTCTGGAGAACGTCTTTACATGTGCTGCCCAAGCTCATTGGACTGGTGTTACCTCCCATCTCCATGGTGCTCTCTTTGGCAGCATTTCTGAGTCCCCCCAGGCACTCTGACGCTGAGGGGGACTGCAGCTGCATGCAGCTCAGGTAGCGTTGGGGGGGCTTGTCTTCGGTCTGGCGGCGGCATAGATAAGGGCTGTTTTCTGCACTGCGTCCACCAGCCCTCTCAGCTGACCCACCAGCTTTTGGGCTCCGTCTCACTCCTCCATCTGAGCCCCTCCTGGTTCCCACATCCCGGGACAGGGACCTCACTTTCATACTGGGGCTGGATGTCTTCGTCTCGGCTCCTCTTCTGTGGGGGTGCGGGGAGTAGGGTTGGTTTAGGTTTGCTTGTACCCCATCCCGTCGTTCGGCTCTGTTTCCTCTCTCTTTCTGCCTGGTGAAGGTTGGAGGCTGCATCCCTGCTGGAGGAAGAGACTCTCCACCTTCCAGGCTCTGTGTGGAGGGGGAAGGGTGCTGCTCACTAACCAGAGGTGTGCTCCTGCAACTTTCCCCCCCGGTGTTGTAGGCACTTGTGCTGTCCTTGTCAGAACGCTCCCTCTCAGGAAGCTCATTGATATCTGACAGAGCGTGATGAGAAGACTCCTCATCCACCAAAGTACCATTCATCTCCAGGCGTCCAGCTCCGACAGCTCCTGTAGCTGCTCCATTCTTGTCCTCTTGAGGCCAAACCTTCATGCAGCGCTCCCTCAGCTGCTGCATCTTCTGGGCCCTCAGGATGTTCCGACACTTGAACTCCAAGTGGCGCAGCTCCTCTTCAAGAAGAACGATCTCGTGCTGTGTCAGGCTCTCGTTCCTGTTCTCATCCAGTGGGACGCCCCCGTCCTCCTGTGCCACCCCCTGAGCATGACTGTTCTTCTCATAGAAGCACTTGATTTCCAGGAGCTCTTTATACCTCTCACACTCTTCCTCAGTGAGCCCAGGCATCATCATCCTCACGGACTCGGCCATGTATGTCCTCTCCAGTCGCTCCATCTGTTCCAGGCCTCCTGCATTAAAACACTCCAGTCCGAGGAGGGAGTCCATGCTGAACTGGAGGTCCTGGGACTGCAGCAGAGGCGGAGTGTCCCCTCTGCTGGACAGAAACTTGCGCATGCTGCCTGGCGTGTTGGTTGTGTTGGTGTTGGAGGCACTGGTGTGGTCGTCTCCCAGAAGGTCGTGTTCTGAGGACTCCTCGTAGCGAGTGCTTTCATCTGTGCGGCCAACACCGCTGTCCAACTCCTGGCTGTTGCTCAGAACTGTCTGGAGCAAGTCGGGTGAGTCTCTGTTCAGTGAGTGAGAGTGGTTTGACAGCACACCTCCCACCGAAGGGCTGCTTTGTCCAACAGCTGGAACAGAGGTGCTGGTCCTTACTCTGGGACTGCTGCTCAGGTGAATGGCATTGTCCAGGGACTCCAGGTCCAGATCATCAGGATCCAGTTGGTTGTCATTCTGGCACGTTGAAGGTATCGGGCACAGGTAGGTGAGTTTAGTTCATCGCATTACAGCAGAGGAGATCAATGTTGAGGAAGAGAGAAGAAAAAACTGTGTTAGGATTTGATACAATTTAACAATTAACAATAAATGTAATAAAACAGGTTTGATTGGTTCATTTCAGATGCTAACCCTAATCCAGATCATTGGCTCAGTGGTTAGCACTGTTGCCTCACAGCAAGAAGGTCCTGGGTTTAATCCCCAGTTGGGCCTGGGGTCTTTCTGTGTGGCATTTGCATGTTCTCTCCGTGCATGCGTGGCTTTTCTCCAGGTACTCCGGTTTCCTCCCACAGACCAAAAACATGCATGTTAGGCTGATTGGTAACTCTAAATTGTTTCTAGGTGTGAGTGAGAGAGTGAATGGTTGTTTGTCTCGTTTGTCTCTATGTGGCCCTGTGATGGACTTGCGACCCGTCCAGGGTGTACCCCGCCCCTCGCACAGTGATTGCTGGACATGGGCACCAGCGACCCCCGTGACCCAAAATGGAATAAGCGGGTAAAGATAATGGATGGATGGATGGATGTATTTATAAACTTGTGCTTTAAACCAAAGCCTTTCTTGAAGCAAGTGAAAGAGGTCACCTTTGACCTTGAGCTGCAAAAACAAAATAAGTTAAAGAGAAAGGTTTGTTAGCTCAATCATCCAGGTAGATCACAACAAAAATGGTTAAATCATGTCATCTGCACCAGTTTCTGTAAGTGAAGAAATGTTTCGTCCCCCATCCAGAGGACTTCCTCAGTCTACGGCCTGTCAACCTGATCTGTCCCATAGGTAGACTTCACTGCTGTGAAAAAAGTTCAAGCCAACCTCCTGTTGGAATCTCAGAAGTAGGCTTTATCACGTGCAAAACACACTGTAGCAATTACGAAGGTGAGATGGAGGAAGAAAGGTGACGCAAGGGTCAGGGGTCATAGTTAGAGAGTGCAGCTTCATGCTACAACACCCATCAATCATTATATACAACAATCAACTGTTTTAGGCCAGATGGTCACCTTGCTACTCACAGAAACAGCCTGAGGACAACCAAGGCTAAAGTGGTTCAGAAAAAGGGTTAGCCTTGTTTGTGTTCAGGCTGTTTCTGTGAGTAGCAAGTTGGCCATATGTCCTAAAACATTTGGTTGTTGCTCATGATGAATGATTGTTTTGGATGGGTGTGTTTTGCACGTGTTAAAAGTCTACTTCTGAGATTCCAACAGGAGGTTGGCTTGAAACACAGCGGTGAAGGATACCTATGGGACAGAACTGGTTGGCAGGCTGTAGACTGAGGAAGTCAGGATGGGGTACGAAACGTTTCTCACTTAAAGAAACAGGTCCAGATGACACAATTTGACCTTTTTTGTTGTATTCAAAAAGGTTCAAGACAAAAACATCTGGACTTTATTTTGTAACAGAAGACCTTTTGCTTCTCATCCGAGGAGCTTTCTCAAATCAAAGAACAGAGTGTGGGGTTCGAGTTATAAAGCTGAAGTAAGCTAGTTACATATACACATTGACCTATCACTCCTCACAATAGAGGATTTGGATCTTTGCTAGTTTGACTCACAGAGGAGCCGTTCTGGTGACATGGATGAAATTCCTGATAGGTGTGAAACTGGGTATCAGACCTAAAGCTGCATTATAAATACGTTTTTGAAAGTTTAAATCTGAGACCTCCTCCTCTGTTTTCTCTTGTTTTACATAAATAAATCCCCCCACCACCCGCCCCCAAACCACCTGTCTTCTCAGAGTCAGAGTCAGAGTCAGAGTCAGAGTTTCTTTATTGTCATTCGCACCTCATGTGGTACATGTGGTGGAGCGAAATTATGTACACAGGGTCCCAGTTACATCCAACAATAAAATGTATAAGAAAAACAGTAATAACATCTAAGATATGAACTAAGAAAAACATCAACTAAATATACACTAAGCACTCATAACATAAAACATTGAACATCACCACAAACATGAACATGAGTCTGTGAGCAGATGTGCACGCATGAACACAACAACATTGAAACAGATCAGCAGCAACATGAAACAGATCAGCCAAAACGTGAATATTTAGGTCTTCAAATGAGTGTCCCTTATTCTTGAGGTGTAGGTGAACTGCTGAGTCTTGTCCCTTAGTAGAAAGTGTGCATAAATATACCTGTACATGTCTTCCTGCATGCATGGCTTTTCTCTGGGTGCTGACTGATAGGCTAACTCTAAATTGTCCCTAAGTGTAAGTGAGCATGAATTATTAACCTTTATTTAATCAGGCAAATCCCACTGAGATCACAGATCTATTTTTGCAAGGGAGGCCTGGACCTGAAGGCAGCCTGACATGCATGTTTTTAGTCTGTGGGAGGAAACCAGAGTACCCGGAGAAAACCCACGCATGCACGAAGAGAACATGCAAACTCCACACAGAAAGACCCCAGGTTTAACTGGGGATTGAACCCAGGACCTTCTTGCTGTGAGGCAACAGCGCTAACCACTGAGCCGTCGTGCTGATTGAATGATTGTTTGTCTCTGTGGGACAGAACACCGGCTCAGATTCAATCCAGTCCAGTAGAATTTGTTGAAAAGTGCTTCAGATTAAAAACACTAAAGGCACTTTGTAAAACTACAAAAGGCAATCTGGCAGAGGAAAATTTCTATCAGTCTTTGCATGCAAAGTAGTGTTAAGTAGTTAATGAATATTTTTATGGTTGTCATAATTAGTTCATTGCAGTTTGACTTCTTATAAGAAGGTTTTACATATTAAAGAGCTTTAATTGCGAAATCTGTTTATATTATCAGCTTGAATAAAACTTTGAGCAAGCGCACAGATATTTCCAGACGTAGCCTCGTCCCGCTTCTGTCTGTGTATTTTTCTGATGAGCTTGCAGAGAGGACATGGAGAAGGGATGGATGTTAATTCAAGAGGAAAAGAAAGAACTTTCTGGGAAACTTCAGAAATAATTCACTGAAAGACTGAGTGAATCCTGAGCATCACATGTTTTCATCTGATTGATTCTAAGAACTCTTATTACAGAAATAACTTTAAATGGTAAGAATTGTAAGAATAATAATTATTAAAACTTGCTCCTCTCTGTCACCAGATGGAGCCAAGGCTCCGTCTGACTTTTACCTTTTCTGAACCCTGAAATTGAATTTGTTTTGTACTGCTCAATTGTCTAAATCATAAATATATATTTAGTAAGTATTTACTCAGAACTGTAGGATAAAATTCCAATTAAAAAAATAAAGCATTTACTAATTTATATTTTACAAAAAAGGACAGTTTTTTCTTTCTGTTTTCAGATAAAATTTATTTAAAATCTATCAAATATAATGAAAACACTGAAGCAACTCCCCCCCCCCCCCCCCCATCTTCTACTTCTTTTCAGATTCTGCCTAATTGGTGTGATTTATATGCAGACTACCAGGAGAGGTTTGATTATCTTTAAGTTGATTCTTTGTCTTTGATAAATCCTCTCCCTTCTTCATCTTTCCTCCCCCTCTAAGACAACAGATCAGGCTTTAATCTCAGTTTGTGCCTTTCCCCTTGGATGGTTCTCCGTGCTCCCCTCCCAGTCTCCTCAGCTTGAATCTTAATGTGGAACAATACCCTGACATTATAAATCTTACTTCTCGTGTTCATATATTTAAACACGAGGACGTGGTTAGAAAGAGAAATGGTTATTTGTGCTCAGATGTGAGAGTCTTTGACCTCCTGTTTTAATGAGCACCTTTAAAATCTGCACTGCAGCTCAGAGAGAATACAGATTTTTCCTTTCTCACATAAACTCTGCCTTTCCCCCTGCAGCACATTTCTGTAATGATACGCACTGAAAAATCTATTCCAGGGGGTCAAAGTGTGTGAAGCAGTTTGATTATAAGGAACTTGGAAAGGATGGTTTAAGGTGCTTTAATGTCCGTCATGACTGACCTTGAGAGAAATAAGTGGTTTCACATCAGTTCTGTGGTTAAAGAGGAGGACCAGCCTTATGAGCTGACAGCTGGTTGGATGCTGGTCGTCCACTTCAGGGAAGTGCCCCTCAACACTGAAGAGGTGGAGGGGTGTGACCACTTCGCTATAGCGCAGCGGTTAGTGACATTGCTTTGCATGCGGGGAATAGGGTTTGAGCCTCAATGAAAGGATGGTATTTTTGTATTCTACTCAAAACATTTAGGCTTTTTGTGGACGACAACAGTTATATTGTATAATGTTTAAAAAGATCTGTCATAGTCCGTGTCTTTTCAGTTATTTCTCCTTCTGGTTATATTATTCTGTTCCTTGTTTTGTATCATCTTATATTTTACTAGCATGGAAGATTTTTTATTTAGCTTGGAGAGATAGCCTGCTTACATATAAGAAAGCGCTCTGTAAAGCTAGAACTGTATATTATTCGTCTTCAATAAATGAGGATAAAAATAACCCTAGGTTTCTGTTCAGTACTATAGCTAGACTAATTAAAAGTCCCATCTCTGTTGATTCATGTATCCCTACTAGGGGTTGAACGAGTATATAATTTTTGAACTCGACATTAACATAATAAACCCCGAGTAGAACTCGAGTATTTGATGACGTCATAGATCTCAAGAAACAAAAATAAATAAATAAATAAAACCGCAAAAAACTGTAATTATTTACAAAAATAAAAGACCAACAAAACATTGGGAGCGTATATTATGCTCCTACCATTTATCATACTGCAAATAAGTCACAGGAAAAACTAAACCATTAGTTATTATTATTAAACTGCAAACGTGAAGAAACGCAGCACGTCAAAAATGAAACTTAAACCGAAACTGGTTCTGGTTCGGTGGATTGGACCCGGTGATACACCATACTCTGTGACCTGCAACAGTACAACACCACCCCCTACGGTCATACGTGGTCACATAATATGACGTCACTACGGATACCCGACTTTACATTTTTAACATCGATAGATGTCCTAGCAATCGATGTGTAGATTACTCGAGTACTCTGTTAATGCCCTAATCCCTACAGCTATAAGCAGTGATGACTTCATGAGATTCTTTATAAATAAAATTATTTCTAATAGTCCAAAATTCAAACCATTGTTTCTACTATTGCCTATGATTCCCTGTCAGATGAGGCAGCTTTAGAGATATTAATAGAACCTGATTTATGTTTGGACTGTTTTTGTCCTGTTGAGCTCTCTGAATTTTCAAAAATATAGCTTCTTCTAAACCATCCACACATCTGCTAGATCCCATCCCAACCAGACGATTTAAAGAGGTATTTCCCTTAATTAATACCCACATTTTGGGTCTGCGTAATTTGTCTCTAATGAGTGGTTACGTACCACAGTGCTTTAAGGTTGCTGTAATTAAACAATTAAACCTTAGAATAGAAGAATGTTACAAAGTCAAGATTCAAGGCATCTACTGGCTTCTTTCCTCAGATAGATAACTTTTACTAATTGGCTTTGAATGTTTTTATACAGTGTCCTGAGACAACTTCTGTTGTCTCTCTCCCTGACCATCTGAGACATTCCACCCCCACTTCAGAACCTGGGACAGTTTAAAGTTTGTTTTCGGCATCTCTAATTCTGGAAAGTGTCAAAAGAGACTTTTATGGTTTGCAAGACAACTGAAGATCCAAGAAATCTGAATAATATTGGAACACCCTTTCTGTGAACCCCAAAAATGGACGTTTGAGTTAACACAGATCACCCAGGATGTCCTGGTATCACCTTGTACCAGTCTATCCCACCAACGATCATAAATAACAGAAAGCCTCGTCTCTGTTCAAAGGAATTCCAGCTTTGACACTTGGGTCCCCTTCCTGCATGCAGAAAACGGACAGGCTTTTTATTCACATTCTAGTAGAATTAATACTGTTTTTCTGTAATGAAAGAATTGTTTACTGGGAATAACTAAATAACTGCCTTGTTGTTTCTCCTATAGCTGACAAGAACCCGTGTAGCCCAAAAGTTTACAAACTTGTTTTCTGTTTATAAGGTTAACAAAGTGTTTGTATTGGTTTTAACCTAATTTAAAGTTGATAAGTGTCTTAAATGGTTTTATTTGATGACTTTTTCAACAGAGCAGATTAAAATAATACTTGATTTAGTTGATAAAAGTTCAGCCCTTCTATTTTGATTGGTTCAAATCGACCACCTCTTTCAAATCAGATGTGTGGTCAGTTGTTTACAAGAGAGGAAGACCTCTCAGAGTAGAGAGAAGAAGAAGAGCAATGATGAAGAAGTGATGAAGACCTCCAGAGGAGGATACGGAATAAGCTTTTAAGATACAACCTACAGAAGACTTCCAAGGAGAAAATTAGCTTCAACTTTGGGCAAAGTTTGATCGAATCCTCTTCAGCGATCCAAACACCTGCAGTTTTCATCAAAGAGTTAACAACAGCTGTCCAGAACTCCAGGAGACGCTCCGGCTGACCATTCGAGCCAGTGACCAAACTCATCGCCTTGATGTCAGGGATGTGAAGGAATTTCAATCTTTACATCACAAGACCATCGGAGCATAAAGAGTGTAATATCTGGTTTCTTCTGGCAGCCTTCGAATACGACTTCTGTTAGGAACAGCTGATTTGATACTCTGACGGTTGACTCTGGTGTCCAAGAATTTAGATTTTAACCAAATTAGTATTAACTCAGTTCAGTAATTATTTTTCCTTAAATTTCAGACAAAATTTTAACTATTGAACGATAAAACGTATTTCTTTTAGTTAAATTTGCATGATTAATCTGCCCTGCTGAAATCTCAAAATTGTTCTACGTTGCATCTTGTTTCTAGTTTGGTTAAGCACATAGAATAATTTCATTTATCTGTTACTTCCTGCTAACAAGCTAATTTTAAAGGTCACGTTAATTTCCATAAAACAGTTGTGAACAAAGCCTTCATTTAAATGTCAGAAATAATTTCCAACAGTTGTTTTTATCATATATAGTCAAATAAACATCACAAAATTGTATTAAAACGTGTGTGTTTTACTTATGACATCTGAATCCTTCATATAAAAGAACTCACGGTGTAAAAAGGGTAATTCGGGGTAATTAAACGTCTGAATTGATGTTCAGACCTTCAGAATTTCTCTCAGAGCTGAGAGTGGTGCCCCTTCAAAATAAAATTCATAACGAATTTTAAATATCCTTAACCCTTACCACTACACCAGTTTCAATCAGTTATCTCTAACACCAGTTCTTATTTATTGATCATCCCAGATTTTTCACCCTCTGACTCTTATCACCTCCTCACCGTCGACTCATTGTCCTGGTTCCCTACCAAATATTTTGGTCCTCTCATGCTTTGTGCAAATGACTGAATGCTTTGTTACATAGTGTTCAGTTAAACTAGTCATTAACTTATCAGTCCATTCTGATTAAACTGTTTCTCCAATCTGAGGTCTTCCCAACATCTATCTACAGCAGGTAAGCTGTTATTTAATTATATCCACTGAACTCCACTTAAAAAAAGAACTATTGCTTTAAAGCCATCTTCAGTCTCTTGTGTTTGAGACAAAGCACAGCACCACATCATTTTCATTTATTTGTCACACTTTCTGCTGTACATGCCCCTCCCTGGTCATTTGTTTTTGCCATCTTGCGACTAAAGGTTACGTCTAAATAGGTGAGCCAGGATCTCGCTTCCTTCACTGAGATAAATGGAGCACAATGCCTTTTTTAGGTCAGCATTCAAAATGAGTCTCGCTGCACTTTCCCTGAAGACCACCTACCCAATTTCCTCACCTCTATCTCAGGCCTTGCGAGGAGCAGTGAGATATTAGTGCTGTCCTCTCTGGTGAGAATAGCTACCGCCTCCTCTCTGTTCTGGATGTCCACGCCATTTATCTGACAGGGAAAAGAAGAACATGAACGTATGAGCCAGTAATGTAAAATACTTTATTTCAAGAAGAGATCCGATTACACTGCACACTCCAGAAAAAAACTCCTAAACAGCCTGGATGATATTCAGGATGAGTTTTAATGTTTCATCTTTGGAATCGTGCTGAAAATGAACTGAACCTCTGTTAAGGCTCAGGTCTTCTCAGATGTTCAGATTTAAGATCAGTGCTAGTAGAAACAACAGCAGCACAGAAAACCAGTTTGTCCTCTGGGTACCTGTAATATTCTGTCTCCCTTACGGATACGACCATCCATTGCAGCAATACTGTTTGGGTTCACCTAAAAAGGTAAAACGATATGTTTAAAAGTATACAATACATGTATGTATTTTTTTATATTTATAGAACTGCTGCGTTTATGGTACCGTCTTCACCTCTCCTACGTATATCCCCAGGTCCTCCTCCTCATCAGTTCTGTAACAGACCGTCAGGCCCAGTTTGTCCTGCTGACGGGACTTGTACAGCTCCACCTCCTGTGGAGACCAGAGGTGGTGGTTTTCAGGCGGAGAACTGTCTGCAGCATGACTTTTACATGTGAGTGACTCACCTCGTATTCCAGCTCGTCGTGCCGGTCCACTTCATGCTGAGTGATGTCTAAGTAATCAGTGGGGTCATAGTACACAGGTTCTGTGAAGCTGAGGACGAGAGCATTCAAGAAACTTCAAACATTATGACGACACAGCGTCTGTGAAGGGATGGACTGGGAAGAAGATTCTCCTCCCATTGCAAATGAGGACATATCCTGTCGAGCTAAGATGAAAAGATGATGCCTAAACCACAAAGTTTCTTTTTCTTATAATGTTTTTTTTTTTTAACGATATTTACGTGTTTGCTGATCCTGTCCTCCATTAAGAAACTGTAGTATGTTTTATTCTGACATCTGTGTTGATTGATTAGACATGGTAAGAAGTAAAAGTCTTTATCAATGGTCATGCTGGGTGAATTTGTCTTGTACTTTCTTTGTTTTCCTCACAAGTGTTAAAAGTGTCAAAGTGGTTAAATAAGTGTTAGATTATAAGAAAAATGTGTGTTTGATATGGCAACTAAATCTACAGTAGTTTATGTGAATTAATTTGTCTTTTACAAAATGTTTCATTTTGCAAACGGTCTGGCATAATTTGTTGACTTTAGTATTTTTAAAAATAAATTGAGCGCTGTTTTTAAAATTGTGCTCATGTAAATATAATTCATAATAAACTGTAAAATTGCTGAGAGTATTCAGGGTCTTTGGCAGCAGCCATGATGGAACAATATGACCTGCTAACTGATGAAATCTCAAATGACTCCACATCTGCTGAGTTACTGGTTGCCGTGGTGATTCCCGCCTTGTTCAGGCAGCATACACAGTACGGCTGTGCTTGAACTGTTTCGTCACTCATTTACATCATGAATCGGGCAAGTTGTAGCAGTATTCAGTATTTAAACTACAGTAAAAGTAGTGTACACTGTACACCATATTGGTGGAAACGGACCATAATGCATTGCAGCCTGAGCTGATACAACACGCTCATGCTAACATCTGCAACTCCTTGTGATTATCTGGCTTAATGAAAATGTATAATTATATACATATATCTCAAATATTATAAGTGTTTTGTGCCCTTCTCTGTCTGAGCTGTGAAGCTAGAAAAATAAATATAAAATAGTGATACTGATACTAGGCCCATATTTAAAATGCTTATTGTTAAGGCTAACATTAAAGTTTAAATATGTTACAGATAGGTTATAAATCACCACTTAAAGAATCTGCTTTTCAGTGGTAATGCTGTGGCTCACTTTTTAATAATTTGCACAAGTAACTACAGCTGTACATAATAATCTATAGGGGATAGTGACCACAGTGTGAGGGAGTGAATGTCTTAAACAGCCTGTGGCAGTCTGACAGAAACACAAACTAGAAAATGAGCTTCAAACAGTTACAGTTGTGCAAAAACTATGAATCATATTGAACAAACTTTTGATTTGTGAGTAGCAAAATCTTCTGGTGGCCATACTTAGAATTTTTTTGGTATAAATTTGCAACTTAAAACTGTACTATATATTTCACCAAAAGTGGCCTATTCGTCACAGAGTTGCATGTTTTGACAAACTTTTTGTTGGAGCTTTTACTACAAACTGAAAACTGTGACAGAAACAAAAGGATGAACTTGTCAAATAGTTATAAAAATATGTGACACCCTTAATAATATGATTATAATCTGACCAATTCCGAGTTCAAATGTGTGAGCAGATGGTCTGATGCAGCAGATGAGTTCTGCTCTGACGACTCGCTGCAGAAACCTGTACGACTGTTTCCACTCACATGTCACTGAACAGATATGGCTCCAGCAGTGGGGGTAGTGGAGGTGATGGAGGGGGGTCAGGTGGGGATTGAGCTCCACAGGGATGCTGCCCACTCCTGCCCAGAGTCAGCATATGCTGGAAGCTGATGTCTGTTTGGGTGCAGCTGTCCACACAGTCGGCCATGCCCATGGTTACCGACACTTGGCCTCCAGGAGCTCCAGCCGGGACCGCCCGTCTGCGGACCCCCCGCCTCAGTATGTTGGACAGCATGGGGTCCCGTATGTCCAGGGTGGGATCCCCCGAAAGGCGAGACAACTCCTTCCTATTTACCTAGAATGAAAAAATAGAGAAATGTTCCATAAATTCAGACCAGACCAGTAGAGTTTGTACACAGCAGTAACCAGAGGAACCGTACGGCTGCACACACCTAAAGTAAAAACAGACCTTGTTAGTAGATGAATGCAAAAAAACATATTTCAAAACCTTAACCCTCTATGGCAGGGTTATTCAACTGGTGGCTCACGGGCCAAATCAGGTCACCTGGTGGGCTCACAAATCAGGATCTTTTTTTTTTTTTTACCAGCTGTGGCATTGTTAAAAAAACAGCAACATTTATTTTACTGTACGTAGCCTGTTTTGTGTATGTTACTGATATGTATTTAAATAAAAGTTTAAAAAATATTTCTGTGTAAGGTAAATATCGTTACAAGCTTGGGGAGTTCCTCGTGAGTCATGTGACTCATGTCACTCTGGCTGCAGAGCAGCAGTTTAAATTTATTTATAAAGCACATTTAAAAACAGCCGCTGTTACCAAAGTGCTTCACAATAAAAATCAATGGCAGTAATTTAATGAACATGTACTGTACTGTAGTATTTTACCAGTACATATTTTGCTGTGGTTGACTGCTGGTCACATGACCTCAGGTAGGGATTGTGTTCGTTTTTTTATATTTTTGGATATGTAGGTGTTTAGCACTGTGCTGTCCTGTGATTACTGGTAGTCTGTTCTTCTTAGACTAGTTCTTGTGTTCAGTCAGTAGGTTGTAAGTGACCGTATTTAATAGCGTAACCATGAGTCGGAAAGAGTGTTTTCATGAAGACATGAGGATCAGCAGCCTGTGTGTTGAAAATCAAACTGAAGTCTATAAATGCCATCTGGTAGTATGTTCTTGTACTACAACAGTAGCTGCACATCGTATCAAGAGTTGTGTATTGTTACTGATAATAAAATGTGGATGCCTGCAGCTTATGCACAAGCGTTTATTTTACGTGTAGTGTGCACGGCTTATAGCCTGGTGCACTTTGTAGATGGGAAATTACTGTAATTTCTGTCCTTTCAGCCTACTGAGCTGTTCAAATCACTGCAGCTTCTACCAACACAAAGTGGCCAGCTTTCACACAAACTAAACATTTTCAACCCAACTAATTGAGGTTTCTTCATGTCTGACACATGCAGTGTGTCAGTGAGAGGACTTACTGAACCAGATCTTTGCTGTTTGATTCAGTATCTGACCTTGGCTGCCTGCGACATGTTTCCCACCCGGCTTCATGCTCCCTTTCTCTCCCTCGTCTCTCGTCTTCTTCCAGTAATTGCATGTCAAATCAAAGTTCCCTGAGCAGCCAAGCACAAACACTTCCCTGCCATTTTTTCAACTCCTAATTCATTTTATTTTCTTTATTCAGCTTCATCTCCACCCCTTCATTTGATCTCTTCTCCCTCTTTAAATCTCTCTTTCTGCCTCCATTTTCTCACCCCACCCTGCCTCTTCCCTCTCCTCTTCCTCCACATTCTGGACTTGTCTTGCCGTGCTGCCTCAGCAGATCTGTCTGCTCCGTCCCCTCCCTGGAGGAACCCCCTCGGCCTCCTCTGTATCCATCTATTTCAGCCGCTCCGTCTCAGTGTGTGCTTGTCCTTCCTCGCACTAATGTCCCTCCATAAATCTTGCTGTCTGTCTTAATGAGATTCTCCTCCACAAATAAGATGCTTCCTCCTTACATGGCAGTTTGGTGATGAAGAAACAAACTCTCTGTTGTCCTGCGATGTGCTTTATTTCTACTCCAACTCTGGTTTCATCCTAACAGGAGGTTCTTCATGCTTTAGTGGTCTGCAGCTTCCAGCATCAGCAAGAGAGGCTATTAGGAGACAGCTCTGATGTGGTGAGTGACAGGTATGAATTCTGATAGAAGGAAAGTGTGTGTGTGTGTGGGGGGGGGGGGGGGGGGTCTCATTCATTATCAATGAGAGGTGCTGAGGCTGCTTTGAGGATGACTTCATGGAGGGTAATGGATGTTCTGTGACTTCCTGTTATCTGTTATCTCTGAGTTAGTAGGTCATTTCCCACATCTTCTATTCATAAGCTACACCAGTTCTGCAAATACCGAACAGTCGGGTCCCAGCCGGTGTATAAAATTTAAATATGTTTAAAAGTGGAATTAAAATTCATTGAAAACAAAACAACAGAAACTACTCCAGAATTCACAGTAGATGGTGGTGGAGGCGAGGGTGGGAGAGATGGGGCTGGAGATGAAAGGGATGCAGAGCTGAAAGTGGGAAGAGAGAAAACGAAGGAGGAGATGCATCGAAGGAAGGAGGGAGGATGGGGGAGCAAGAGGGTGAGGGTGGGGGAGAAAAGAGCCAAACAAGCTTTCGAGGAAGTGCTGCTGAATGGAAATACTGCGTGAGTGTCTCAACACAATATAAATCTGCTGGAAAATAATCACGAGGAAGCTGCATAATTATGGCTTTTCTCAGACTGTTCTTCAAGCTGATCTCATGGGCGGTCCGACAGGCTGAGATGAAAGAGATGAAACACAGTAAACAAAACAAACACAAACAACAACATGTTCCTATGATCCACCCAGCACCAGAGTTTGCCCCAAGCGTTCATTTATGATTTTTTTAAGTAATCACCTGCTGCCAAAAGGCAAAAGACTGGAAATCATGTTTTTGCCTGTTTGTGTTTGTCTGTTAGCAAAATATCTTGTGAACCACTGTAGAAAGTCTGACCATTGTTTCAGAAAGTCATCATTAGATGTACATCTATGACTGATTACTGTCTGGAATCAATCCAAGTCAATATGGCCACCACAGCAAATCCCTAAT